TCTCTCTCTCTCTCTCTCTCTATATATATATATTTTGCTCTCTCTCTCTCTCTGGAGTATTTTCAGTATCTCTCTCTCTCTCTCTTAATCATGCAGTGTATCTCTCTCTCTCTCTCTCTCAATATTTATTGAGCTCTCTCTCTCTCTCTGTGGTATGTGGAATGACTCTCTCTCTCTCTCTGGGTGGGGGTGATTTGCTCTCTCTCTCTCTCTACTATTCCTGCTGGCTCTCTCTCTCTCTCTCTGCATCTCTGCAGATGACTCTCTCTCTCTCTCTTCAGGCAGCTCTCTGTCTCTCTCTCTCTCTCTCCTGCTTTTCTCTTTCCTCTCTCTCTCTCTCTTGTGTGAGACCATCCACTCTCTCTCTCTCTCTTTCCTTTCTACTTCGTCTCTCTCTCTCTCTCTTGAGGATGTTCTAGATCTCTCTCTCTCTCTCTTTCCCTTGGAGAGCATCTCTCTCTCTCTCTCTTAGGAAGTGGTTGTCACTCTCTCTCTCTCTCTGGGAAGGAACCACAATCTCTCTCTCTCTCTCTCCAAGGAACCACGGCTCTCTCTCTCTCTCTCTCCAGTTCGACTTCCAACTCTCTCTCTCTCTCTCATTACTGCTTCCCTGCTCTCTCTCTCTCTCTTGGTAAATCCTTGATTCTCTCTCTCTCTCTCTTTTTTAGAGTGACATGCTCTCTCTCTCTCTCTATGTAGGTTTTAAATGCTCTCTCTCTCTCTCTTTTTGAAGCCCACATTCTCTCTCTCTCTCTCTATTGCCTTATCAATTTCTCTCTCTCTCTCTCTTTAAAATGTTTTGTAGCTCTCTCTCTCTCTCTTTGCCAAGGCTGGTCTCTCTCTCTCTCTCTCTCGCAGTTTGTCCGCCTCTCTCTCTCTCTCTCTTGGGATTACAGGTGTGCTCTCTCTCTCTCTCTCCAGTTTGGTATCTGTCTCTCTCTCTCTCTCTTTTCGTCTTTTTGAACCTCTCTCTCTCTCTCTTGAAATAGTTTTAGATCTCTCTCTCTCTCTCTAAGATAGTACAGGGATCTCTCTCTCTCTCTCTCACCCAACTTTCCTTACTCTCTCTCTCTCTCTGGTAACTGGTGAATTTCTCTCTCTCTCTCTCTTGACACCGCTACAGTACTCTCTCTCTCTCTCTTTATTCGCATTCCACCCTCTCTCTCTCTCTCTTCCTTTTCCTGTTCTACTCTCTCTCTCTCTCTCCCAGATCGTATTTAGCTCTCTCTCTCTCTCTGTTACAGGTTGTCCCCCTCTCTCTCTCTCTCTGGTGTGTGGGGTTGTGCTCTCTCTCTCTCTCTTGTGTGTTTATATGTGCTCTCTCTCTCTCTCTTATATATATATATTTTCTCTCTCTCTCTCTCTGGGCCTGGTTAGTGCTCTCTCTCTCTCTCTCTTCTCCTTCTGTTGCCTCTCTCTCTCTCTCTCTGTGCAGTCATGACTCACTCTCTCTCTCTCTCTCTTCCTGGCTCAAGTGCTCTCTCTCTCTCTCTTCATGAGTAGTAGCTGCTCTCTCTCTCTCTCTCCACCATGCACAGCTACTCTCTCTCTCTCTCTGTTGTGCAGAGTTTCACTCTCTCTCTCTCTCTGATCTTGAACTCCTGGCTCTCTCTCTCTCTCTTGCCTTGGCTCCCGAACTCTCTCTCTCTCTCTAGTGAGCCACTTTGCCCTCTCTCTCTCTCTCTTTTGGATAGCTTTTTACTCTCTCTCTCTCTCTCTAGCATTAGCCAGTACTCTCTCTCTCTCTCTCATCTAATTCTGAATTCTCTCTCTCTCTCTCTCTGGTTTTGTCTGGGGCTCTCTCTCTCTCTCTATCTGTTGTGATAATACTCTCTCTCTCTCTCTTTTTTTTTTTTTTTTTCTCTCTCTCTCTCTCTTTTTTGAGGTGGAGTTCTCTCTCTCTCTCTCTGGCTGGAGTGCAATGGCTCTCTCTCTCTCTCTCCACAGCCTCCGCCTCCTCTCTCTCTCTCTCTCTTCTGCCTCTGCCTCCTCTCTCTCTCTCTCTACAGGCATGTGCCACCCTCTCTCTCTCTCTCTGTATTTTTAGTAGAGACTCTCTCTCTCTCTCTTGATCAGTCTGGTCTTCTCTCTCTCTCTCTCTGTGATCCACCCACCTTCTCTCTCTCTCTCTCTGGGATTACAGGTGTGACTCTCTCTCTCTCTCTATTCATTTTTAATTTTCTCTCTCTCTCTCTCTTTATTTTCATTTTTTTCTCTCTCTCTCTCTCTGGAGTGCTGTGGCACGCTCTCTCTCTCTCTCTCCAACTCCTGGGCTCACTCTCTCTCTCTCTCTTGGTCTCACAAAGTGCCTCTCTCTCTCTCTCTTGCCGTTGTGCCCAGCCTCTCTCTCTCTCTCTATAAGCTGACATGTGTCTCTCTCTCTCTCTCTATGAAATTAGAGGCTGCTCTCTCTCTCTCTCTGAGAGAATGATGCTGGCTCTCTCTCTCTCTCTTGAATGAACTTCAGATCTCTCTCTCTCTCTCTCAGCAGAATTTTGTGACTCTCTCTCTCTCTCTTGCTGAGTTGTGATGTCTCTCTCTCTCTCTCTTTCGCAGGTACCTCAGCTCTCTCTCTCTCTCTTACTAGAGAAAGACCACTCTCTCTCTCTCTCTGAAGGATTAAGAGTTACTCTCTCTCTCTCTCTTATTTGGGATGTCTGCCTCTCTCTCTCTCTCTTGTGTCAAGTAGTCATCTCTCTCTCTCTCTCTGAACTGCCTAGGAGAACTCTCTCTCTCTCTCTTACATTTGGGACTCATCTCTCTCTCTCTCTCTTTTACGTAAGGGGAAACTCTCTCTCTCTCTCTGTCGGATGAGAGTTGACTCTCTCTCTCTCTCTTTCCCGTAGTTTCTTCCTCTCTCTCTCTCTCTGGTGAAAGCTGGTGATCTCTCTCTCTCTCTCTGAGAAGTCGGACAAGTCTCTCTCTCTCTCTCTTCTGTGGGTGGTGCTGCTCTCTCTCTCTCTCTCTTAAATAAGAGCCTCCTCTCTCTCTCTCTCTGGAGCTGCAGCAGAACCTCTCTCTCTCTCTCTGCAAGGGAGTGGAGAGCTCTCTCTCTCTCTCTGCAGGACGGTGGCGGACTCTCTCTCTCTCTCTACAGGGGGTGGCTGTCCTCTCTCTCTCTCTCTTTTCCTTGTAGGGTAGCTCTCTCTCTCTCTCTACACTAGCCATTTGATCTCTCTCTCTCTCTCTTGGGTGCCCTTAGTGGCTCTCTCTCTCTCTCTTCAGAGCAGGCTTTCACTCTCTCTCTCTCTCTATGAAGTAAATCACAGCTCTCTCTCTCTCTCTATGCGGCCCTCGTGGCCTCTCTCTCTCTCTCTGTTCTCACCTCTATGCCTCTCTCTCTCTCTCTTGTCTTCCTCCCATTCCTCTCTCTCTCTCTCTAAACACAGGCACACAACTCTCTCTCTCTCTCTAGCTGTTTGGACTTGCCTCTCTCTCTCTCTCTGGTGTGTGGCCTCTTGCTCTCTCTCTCTCTCTGGGGATGATCCAGATGCTCTCTCTCTCTCTCTTGGTACTGAGATTTCTCTCTCTCTCTCTCTCTTGTGGATTAGCAGCTTCTCTCTCTCTCTCTCTGGTACTGCTGCTGGCACTCTCTCTCTCTCTCTACCTCAGATCCTTGGCCTCTCTCTCTCTCTCTAGTGAAAATAACCTCACTCTCTCTCTCTCTCTAGGGAGTGAGAGAGATCTCTCTCTCTCTCTCTTTTCCTGCTGCTTGTTCTCTCTCTCTCTCTCTGTGCTGTGACTGATGGCTCTCTCTCTCTCTCTTGAAAGAAGATTGTGGCTCTCTCTCTCTCTCTAATCGACTCCTGTCTTCTCTCTCTCTCTCTCTTGGACTGGTGTGGTTTCTCTCTCTCTCTCTCTCATGTCATTCTAACTACTCTCTCTCTCTCTCTTCATAATTGGGTGTCCCTCTCTCTCTCTCTCTTACATAAAAAAGTCCCCTCTCTCTCTCTCTCTATATTTCCAAATGGAGCTCTCTCTCTCTCTCTGTGGTATACCCTTAGGCTCTCTCTCTCTCTCTTATTTTATCTTTGTTTCTCTCTCTCTCTCTCTAAGCTGATAATGTTAACTCTCTCTCTCTCTCTGAAAATAGGAACCATACTCTCTCTCTCTCTCTTTGTAATTTTAAAAATCTCTCTCTCTCTCTCTCTTAAGAAAAAGAACACTCTCTCTCTCTCTCTTCTGTATCTTGTGGTTCTCTCTCTCTCTCTCTCACCTAGAATCTTTGCCTCTCTCTCTCTCTCTATGTACATTCCTTTCTCTCTCTCTCTCTCTCTATTCCATCGAATTGATCTCTCTCTCTCTCTCTATCTAGATAGATCATGCTCTCTCTCTCTCTCTTTTGTTTTTTGATTAACTCTCTCTCTCTCTCTCAAGAGTTTTAGGTACCTCTCTCTCTCTCTCTGCCTGCAGTCCCAGCACTCTCTCTCTCTCTCTTGGGAGGAATCCTTGACTCTCTCTCTCTCTCTCCAAGACCAGCAACAACTCTCTCTCTCTCTCTAATTAAAAAACAAAAACTCTCTCTCTCTCTCTTTTAAGTTTCCACAGACTCTCTCTCTCTCTCTCGTGATAATGTTTTTTCTCTCTCTCTCTCTCTTTCTTGCCTTTCTTTTCTCTCTCTCTCTCTCTCAGTCTCGCTCTGTTTCTCTCTCTCTCTCTCTGTGGTGCAATCTCAGTCTCTCTCTCTCTCTCTCTCCTGGGTTCAAGCGCTCTCTCTCTCTCTCTCTCCTGAGTAGCTAGGCTCTCTCTCTCTCTCTGTGACGCCGACTAATTCTCTCTCTCTCTCTCTAGATGGGGTTTCACCACTCTCTCTCTCTCTCTCTCGAACTCCTGACCTCTCTCTCTCTCTCTCTGTCAACCTCCCAAAGTCTCTCTCTCTCTCTCTTGAGCCATTGCACCCGCTCTCTCTCTCTCTCTTTTTGAGACGGAATCTCTCTCTCTCTCTCTCTCTGGAGTGCAGTGGTGCTCTCTCTCTCTCTCTCAACCTCCACTTCCCGCTCTCTCTCTCTCTCTCTGCCTTAGCCTCTCACTCTCTCTCTCTCTCTGGCGTGTGCCACCTCACTCTCTCTCTCTCTCTGTTTTTAGTAGAGACGCTCTCTCTCTCTCTCTGTTGGCCCAGATGATCCTCTCTCTCTCTCTCTGTGATCCGCTCCGCTTCTCTCTCTCTCTCTCTTGGGATTAGGGATGTGCTCTCTCTCTCTCTCTTCTGCAGATTCTTGATCTCTCTCTCTCTCTCTTAGGTTAGCCAGTGAACTCTCTCTCTCTCTCTTGGTTAAGAAACATCACTCTCTCTCTCTCTCTTGTGTGTGTAGTTCCTCTCTCTCTCTCTCTCTGCTGCATCCTCCTTCACTCTCTCTCTCTCTCTAGTGGGTTTCGCTGAACTCTCTCTCTCTCTCTGAAGTAACAGGGCTGACTCTCTCTCTCTCTCTGGGAACTTAGGGAACGCTCTCTCTCTCTCTCTTTTCTCTGCACCTTCTCTCTCTCTCTCTCTCTATCTAATTAGTGTGGTCTCTCTCTCTCTCTCTATTTGTTTGGTAGAGGCTCTCTCTCTCTCTCTGAGCCAGAGGGTAAAGCTCTCTCTCTCTCTCTGTAGTCAAAGGTCTTTCTCTCTCTCTCTCTCTGTGGGAGGGCTTTTACCTCTCTCTCTCTCTCTGACAGAATGGTGGAAGCTCTCTCTCTCTCTCTTCCCATGTGAAGTTGGCTCTCTCTCTCTCTCTCGTGTTTGTCCTTGGACTCTCTCTCTCTCTCTCAACGCCTGGCACAGGCTCTCTCTCTCTCTCTGAGGTAACTGACGTTCCTCTCTCTCTCTCTCTGTCTAGGAACACACGACTCTCTCTCTCTCTCTGGTCAAGTGGCATGGACTCTCTCTCTCTCTCTCACCTGTTGTTTTTATCTCTCTCTCTCTCTCTTTAGGCTATTTCAGAGCTCTCTCTCTCTCTCTTAGAAGGGTCTTAGGGCTCTCTCTCTCTCTCTAGTTCCCAGACAAGATCTCTCTCTCTCTCTCTAGTGGTTAGCTGTAGACTCTCTCTCTCTCTCTAATCTGGGAACCAGTTCTCTCTCTCTCTCTCTGCCCAGCCAGGCTAGTCTCTCTCTCTCTCTCTAGTTCCCTCTGTAGGCCTCTCTCTCTCTCTCTACTCCATCTCTTTCTCCTCTCTCTCTCTCTCTCCACCACCGTGACTTGCTCTCTCTCTCTCTCTTCATCACTGACCACCTCTCTCTCTCTCTCTCTCCCATTCCAACAATCTCTCTCTCTCTCTCTCTTTACTATGAAGTTCTACTCTCTCTCTCTCTCTCCTCACCCGAGGATATCTCTCTCTCTCTCTCTATTTTATTTCTGAGATCTCTCTCTCTCTCTCTGGTACATTGGTAATTGCTCTCTCTCTCTCTCTCTATTGCCTATGAAAACTCTCTCTCTCTCTCTATACCAGTCTTTGAATCTCTCTCTCTCTCTCTTGACAGAGCAGTTAACCTCTCTCTCTCTCTCTCTAGGTCTGGGCTTTGCTCTCTCTCTCTCTCTTGGTTTATATCTGAAGCTCTCTCTCTCTCTCTCGAGGATGTGAAATAACTCTCTCTCTCTCTCTCTTTGGACTTTGAAAACTCTCTCTCTCTCTCTCTCTTGAGTGCCCTTTCTCTCTCTCTCTCTCTAGAGTAGGTAGCACTCCTCTCTCTCTCTCTCTGTTGTTGGGCTCCAGCCTCTCTCTCTCTCTCTCCTTCTGATTCATATGCTCTCTCTCTCTCTCTACCACTGCCTGTTGCACTCTCTCTCTCTCTCTCAGGGCCTGGCCAATGCTCTCTCTCTCTCTCTAGCCGTAGAAGGCTCTCTCTCTCTCTCTCTCTTGTTTAATTAATGAAACTCTCTCTCTCTCTCTAGAGTGTACAGCAAAGCTCTCTCTCTCTCTCTCGTTAGATATTCACATCTCTCTCTCTCTCTCTGCCTGGAATAGTTAGTCTCTCTCTCTCTCTCTTAACAATGCAAAAAAACTCTCTCTCTCTCTCTCTAATAAAAACCACAACTCTCTCTCTCTCTCTCTGTTTTCCAGTCAGGCTCTCTCTCTCTCTCTTTGGCGTGTACTCTCACTCTCTCTCTCTCTCTGTTAGCTTAAAAAAAACTCTCTCTCTCTCTCTTGAAGTTTATACTGCTCTCTCTCTCTCTCTCTAAGATAGAATTAACTTCTCTCTCTCTCTCTCTAGTTCATTTTGATTAACTCTCTCTCTCTCTCTGAAAAATAGAGTCTCACTCTCTCTCTCTCTCTGGTCTCAAACTCCTGGCTCTCTCTCTCTCTCTCACCTTGGCCTCCCAGCTCTCTCTCTCTCTCTATGTGAGCCACTGTGCCTCTCTCTCTCTCTCTATTTTAAAATGCTAAACTCTCTCTCTCTCTCTGGCTCACACCTCTAATCTCTCTCTCTCTCTCTGTCTAGGTGGGAGGGTCTCTCTCTCTCTCTCTGGTTTGAGACCAGCCTCTCTCTCTCTCTCTCTTACTGTCTTGACCAAACTCTCTCTCTCTCTCTTGGCATATGCCTGTAACTCTCTCTCTCTCTCTGGCTGAGGCAGGACAGCTCTCTCTCTCTCTCTGGTTGAGGCTGCAGTGCTCTCTCTCTCTCTCTCTGCACTCCAGCTTGGCTCTCTCTCTCTCTCTCCTGTCTCTCCAAAAACTCTCTCTCTCTCTCTAGTCAGGATGACTACTCTCTCTCTCTCTCTCTGTTGCCTGCAGATTATCTCTCTCTCTCTCTCTGGAACCTAGTAGAAGCCTCTCTCTCTCTCTCTGTCAGGCAGGCCCTGACTCTCTCTCTCTCTCTGTGAGGTTTCCCACACCTCTCTCTCTCTCTCTGTACACTTGAGGCACACTCTCTCTCTCTCTCTAGTATTAACAGCTTGACTCTCTCTCTCTCTCTGACAAATACTTTGCTCCTCTCTCTCTCTCTCTTGGATGTATTAGTCTGCTCTCTCTCTCTCTCTAAAGACATACCCAAGACTCTCTCTCTCTCTCTGTTTAATTTGACTTAACTCTCTCTCTCTCTCTGGGAGGTCTTATAAACCTCTCTCTCTCTCTCTGGCACTTCTTACATGGCTCTCTCTCTCTCTCTCGGAAGAAGCAAAAGCCTCTCTCTCTCTCTCTCCCATCAGGTCTTGTGCTCTCTCTCTCTCTCTACGAGAATAGCACGGGCTCTCTCTCTCTCTCTGATTCAGTTACCTCCCCTCTCTCTCTCTCTCTACACCTGGGAGTTCTGCTCTCTCTCTCTCTCTTTGAGATTTGGGTGGGCTCTCTCTCTCTCTCTATCAGTGGATAAGCATCTCTCTCTCTCTCTCTCTTCAGTAATGATGGACTCTCTCTCTCTCTCTGATAGAGGTCATTAGACTCTCTCTCTCTCTCTGTTATTTGTGAGAACACTCTCTCTCTCTCTCTTCTCTAGCATGATGTTCTCTCTCTCTCTCTCTACAGCCTATTAACCTTCTCTCTCTCTCTCTCTTCCTGCACTCCTGAGGCTCTCTCTCTCTCTCTGCTGACTTTTAAAAATCTCTCTCTCTCTCTCTATGGGGTACATGCTGTCTCTCTCTCTCTCTCTGTGTGCCCTTGGCTTTCTCTCTCTCTCTCTCTTTTGTTTGAGGACTTACTCTCTCTCTCTCTCTACCTATTCCGCATCTCCTCTCTCTCTCTCTCTTCTTCCTGTGTTTGAACTCTCTCTCTCTCTCTTGCCTTCCTTGGTGCCCTCTCTCTCTCTCTCTGGTCCAACAGATCTGACTCTCTCTCTCTCTCTTCATTTGGCACTGTTTCTCTCTCTCTCTCTCTTGTTGTATTACACCTTCTCTCTCTCTCTCTCTAGTAGGTGTATGACTGCTCTCTCTCTCTCTCTTCTTGTCCTGCATTCTCTCTCTCTCTCTCTCTTTCATATGAACACTAGCTCTCTCTCTCTCTCTCACACTAATCATTTTTCTCTCTCTCTCTCTCTTATGGTCTGTTATTTTCTCTCTCTCTCTCTCTATTTAGGGTTATTTGACTCTCTCTCTCTCTCTTATTTAGGTCCACAGTCTCTCTCTCTCTCTCTAAGTATTCTGGACTCCCTCTCTCTCTCTCTCTTAGTATGGTTAAGCCACTCTCTCTCTCTCTCTGTTGCAAGTTAAATTGCTCTCTCTCTCTCTCTCAGTAATAACTTGCCACTCTCTCTCTCTCTCTTCAGATTTGTATACTACTCTCTCTCTCTCTCTGGTATACTGCTTCTCTCTCTCTCTCTCTCTCTCCTTTTGAATATATGCCTCTCTCTCTCTCTCTATTAGAGAATTTTTTTCTCTCTCTCTCTCTCTTCATGTTGAGCCGGAGCTCTCTCTCTCTCTCTAGCCTGGAGTTCAGTGCTCTCTCTCTCTCTCTCTGCAACCTCTGCCTTCTCTCTCTCTCTCTCTCTGCATCAGCCTCCTGCTCTCTCTCTCTCTCTGACGCACACCTTCATGCTCTCTCTCTCTCTCTTTTAGTAGAGATGGTGCTCTCTCTCTCTCTCTAGGTTGGTCTCGAACTCTCTCTCTCTCTCTCTACCCGCCTCGGCCTGCCTCTCTCTCTCTCTCTCAGGTGTGAGCCACTGCTCTCTCTCTCTCTCTTCGTATTTAAATAGCACTCTCTCTCTCTCTCTGTTGGAACTCTGCAACCTCTCTCTCTCTCTCTCCTAGAATCTTTGTGGCTCTCTCTCTCTCTCTTTTTCACTGGGTGAACCTCTCTCTCTCTCTCTCAAAAGCAGGTAACACCTCTCTCTCTCTCTCTATCCATATTCATTGCACTCTCTCTCTCTCTCTGAATTTTCCAAACGTCCTCTCTCTCTCTCTCTATCAACGGTTACCACTATCATTTT